AGAGGCACCAGCTGGCCGGAGGGTGACATCTGTCTCTCATTCTTTTCTACACTGATGGGGCAGGTGTCCCTTCTCCCTCTTGGTGCCAGGTGGCCCCTCTGGAGGAGCCAAGGGGAGTGAGAGTCTTGACCATTGTGTCCCTGAGGTGTACGAGACTATAAAAACAAACCCTAGCTTACCCTGGTGCAGCTGCTGTGTGGGGAAGATAAGTTGCTTAGAGCTGGAAGGTGGCATGTGTCTGTGACCTCAGCACATGGTAGATGGAGTTCACAGTTAATTTTGCAAGTTCTGGGCCAGTCTGGGCTACATGGGATCCCTCCCTTCTCTGTCTTTCTCTGTCTCTCCTTCCCTCTTTCTCAAAAAAAAGGGAATGAAAAGAAAGAAAAAGAAAAGAAAAAACCTTACACTTAGATATCATCGGGGTGAGAAAATACAGATAAAGGTCATGTGACCGTCCAGCAATTTAAACTGGAGTCAGGTTTCAAACCTGGATCTGACATGTGCCCGTGAGCGACACAGTGTCACCTGTCCCTTAAAAGGGGACTTAATGGAGAGTCACCTTGGGGCCCTGAACTCAGCTGCAGTAAGCTGACACAGATGCACACTAAACATGCGGTTGTCCCCAGTGTCTGTGGGTCTCATCCCCCATCTGTATCCAGAGCCTCAGTCTCGTGTGTAGAACGGGGACCACAGTCCAGTTGTTCTTAGCTGGGTTCCCTTCTCCTGCCTTTTGCTTTTCTTCCCACCCCTCTGGTTCCATGTGTTCTTTTTTGTGCTCTGTCCCCTGCCCAAGTGGCTAAGCTCCCTGTAGATCTCTGGAAGGTTCCACTTGGATTCCCAGGGGCTTCTGGAGCTTTGGGCACCAGAGCCCTCAAAGCAATTTGTGCCAGCAGTTCTCATCTGCCTCTGTGATTCGAGCAGAGATTTTTATCCCCAGGTCAGGCAGAAGGAGCAACACCAGAGACCTCAAGTGCAGCCTGTGGCTATTTCCCTGGCAGCTCTTCGCTGTTGCAGGAACCGTGTGCACTTCTTGGGCAGCGTGAGTATGCTGTATATCCAACCGCTACACCACCAAGGTGATGGTGTGAGGGTTGGTGGCCCGTCATTTTGCCTCACGTGACACTCATAGTGACGATGATGTCACACTTATTTGGGGATTGAGGCTCAGCTCAGCACTTGGGAGACCGAGAAAGGAAGACCTTAAGTTAGAGGGGAGTCTGAGTTCGAGGCCAGCCTGGGCTATATGGTAGGACTTTCTCAAAAAAAAAAAAAAAAAAGACAAATCCAAGGTGTAAAGTCATGGTGGGTTTCTCTGGGTTCTGTGTCTAAGCCCTTCCCATCACTCTCCAAGGAGCTCTGTGGTGATGCCAAGGTGTGTCTGGCCCTGGATACCCACCTCTCATTCCTGTTTCTGTGATAGCTGGAGGCCCGTCTGTTTTCATCACATGGACATGACTCACCTGACTCCGTGGTACCTGCGGGCCAAGCAGGGATTCGGGTGGTGGAGGTCAGCGGCTATACCAAGTTGGCTCTTTTTCAACATGGAGACCAAACCTCCTGAACCTCAAGGTAGGAGAGACCTATGTCTCATGGGTGGTAGTCTTTTGTCTAAGCTTCCATAAGGGGCTCCTGGTCTTGGCTTTTGGTGGGGGCAGAGCCATGAGCTGGGTCCATAGTCCACGCAACCTCTGACCATGAGGTTCTCAGCGCTGGTCCTTTCATCATGCATAAATATCTTTTGTAGAAAACAACCCTCATGCCAGGTAGTGGTGATGAACGCCTTTAATCTCAGCACTTGGGAGGCAGAGGCAGGTAGATTTCTGAGTTGGAGGCCAGCCTGGTCTACAGAGTGAGTTCCAGGACAGCCAGGGCTACACAGAGAAACCCTGTCTCGAAAAAACAAAAACAAAAAAGAAAACAACCTCACAGATCTCACAGATGTGTGATTAGCTTGTTTTTAAAAATTAGTGTACAAAATAATGTGTTTGGGGCAGGCAGAGTGTTTACCTAGCATTCAGAACCTCCCCAGTTGGAGCCCCAGCACACCAAGAGCCAGATGTGATAACACAAGCCTGCAATCCAAGAAGTTCAAAGTTAACCCTGGTTACATTGTAAGTTTAAAGCCAGCCCAGGCTATTTGAGACTCTGTCTCAAAACAAGCAAGCAGTTAGACAAACAGTAAGAAGTCAAAAACCAGGGGCTAGAAGGATGACTCAGTGATTCACAGCACTGGCTGCTTTTACAGAAGCCCTAGGTTTGATTTGTAGCACCCAGGTAGTGGCTTGCAACTGAAACTCCAGTTTCAGGAGATCTGACCACCACCTCTCAGCCCCCACTTCTGACCTTCTTAGATACACTGTACACACATGGTATACAAACATACATGCAGGCAAAACACTCAGACTCATAAACATTTTTAAAAGCTTTTAAAAACCCAAAACAAAAGAAACATCTGTGTGTCTCTTGCCTATGTGTCCCCTCCTAGGCTCAGCCTTCAGAGGGCCAGTGGCTGTGACCTCACTGTAGGTCAGGTGTGTGCCCCTGGGTCCTGCTCTTTCTCAGTAGCACGGTGCCACACTGCTGTATCAAGAGGACAGCCCAGACATTTTGAACAAAGTTGCCATGCCCTGCAGTTGTATTTAATGACACGGTCACATGTTCATTGCCCCCGTGAGATTGCCTAAATCGGGGAAACCATTCCTATTCCACAGGGAGCCCACTGATAAGCTACTTTGTATCTTCATGGTCCTCATATGGATATTTTGTATAAACTTGGCCACGCCCACTACTCATCTTAGTTTTTATTTTTAATTTTTTCTTTCTTTTTTTTTTGGGGGGGGGGATTTCAAGATAGGGTTTCACTGTATAGCCCTGAGTGTCCTGGAACTCACTCTGTAGAGCAGGCTGTCCTCGAACTCAGAAATCCACCTGTCTCTGGCTCCCAAGTGCTGGGATTAAAGGCATGCGCCACCACCGCCTAGCCTTATTTTTAATTTTTGAGACACACACACACACAGAAAGACAGAGAGAGAGAGAGAGAGAGAGAGAGAGAGAGAGAGAGAGAGAGAGAGGGAGAGAGAGAGAGAGAGAGAGAGAGAGAGAGAGAGAGAGAGAGAGAGAATGAGAATCTCACTATTTAATCCAGGCTGGCCTTGAACTCATGACCCTCCTGTCTCAGACTCCCCAGTGCTGGGATTCCCGGAGGGTGCCACCATACCCAGCTCTAGGTCTGGCTTTTCTTAGCATGGCCTGTGTGGTTTGTTCAGGGTTTGCCAATAACCAGATCTTTTTTACCGCCCAGTTGATGCCACCTGTATGATGTGGTCATACATCTCATCTGTTCCATAGGGATTTTAATTTGACCCATACTTCCTACCTGGGGTGTGTTCCCAACAGGGTTGTATGATGGCTGAGTACAAACACAGCCTGTGTTTTTGCTGAGGGGCTGTACTGGCTGGTTTTGTGTCAACTTGACCCAAGCTAGAGTTATCACAGAGAAAGGAGCCTCCCTGGAGGAAATGCCTCCATGAGATCCAGCTGTAAGGCATTTTCTCAATTAGTGATCAAAATGGGGAGGGCTCCTTGTGGGTGGAGCCATCCCTGGGCTGGTGGTCCTGGGTTCTACAATAAAGCAGACTGAGCAAGCCAGGGGAAGCAATCTAGTAAGCAGCACTCCTCCTTGGCCTCTGCATCAGGTCTTGCCTCCAAGTTCCTACCCTGTGTGAGTTCCAGTCCTGACTTCCTTTGGTGATGAACAGCAATGTGGAAGTGTAAGCTGAATTAACCCTTTCCTCCCCAACTTGCTTCTTGGTCATGAATACAAACCCTAAGACAGGGGGCATGGTCTGTGTTTCTGAATTCAAGTCACTGATGAGTTGGTAGAGATCCTGGCTAAGTTTCCAGAATAACGACTCAAGAGTCACATGCGTTGTGCCTGTGGGCTTGGAGAGCCACAGCCTCACCCTGGCTTGTGTGGCTCTCAAACCTACAGCTTTCTTTGTACACCACGGGACTGAGTCAGCCTAACTAGGAACTAGAGTACTCTGGAAACCTCCACTGTCCTCACAGTGACCAGGATTCTGGGTCTGCACCCCGTGACAAGGTCCCTGTGGGTTTGTTTACAGAGTTCCTGCTGGTTCCCAGGTGGCAGAAGAGTGGATGGATTTGGGGAAGGTCACAGCCACCCTGCAAAGCAGCCTTGCAGATAAGTAACCCCTTCACCAGCCCGCCTGCTCTCTGCTGGTGCATGAGAGAAAGGGTCAGCTCTGGAACCCCCAAAGGGAGGGTGGATGGGTGTGATTCTGGCTCTCAAAAATGCCATTTATAAGGTTGAAGAGGCTCTTCGGTCTTGCAGACACGTGGGGACCTCTTTGGGGTTCCCGAGGGACATGTTCCTCCTCCATCAGCTCCAGGATTCTGTGACAGGAGGCTCTAAGAGCAGTTGTGAGATATCTCACTTTCCCTGGCTCGGGGTTTGGAGGACAAATGTAGCCTGACTGTCAGGAAAGAGCAAACCTGAGCCCTGGGGTGGGATTCAGGGCACTCCCTTCTCCTTTCATCCTGGTGAATCACAGTGGTCCTCATGAACTCTGTACCATCCTCTGGCCACCTGTTCTGTCACAGGAAAGGAGGGGACTAAGGTGGGCAGAGGGCTGCTTTCATTTTCCAGCCACGATTTGAATGGCCACCAAGTACCCTTGTGTGACAGGGCAGGGGTCAGAGAGAGGTGCAAGCTTCCAGCAGCCACTGTAGTACTAAGCTCAGAGTTCCAGATTCCCCCTCTGTCCAGCACCTCCCTCCGTTGTCCCCATTTTCTTGGATCACACAAGTACCCACAATGCTCTAGGCGACAGAGAAGGAGGAGGCAGATGGCTCCTGAGCCAAGGGAGGGCTTGGGCATGGTCATCTCCTGGAGCGGGGGCTGGGGGTGGGTTGGCTCTTCTGTCTTCCAGAGTCATCCTGTGATGTCTGTGTGGGGGCGGAGCTAGGCCTTCCATGATGTCAATGATGTAATGATGTCAGGTAAGGGTGAGACGCATGCTTCCTTTTAGGAGGGTGGGTTGTCCTCTGTTTTATATTCCATCCCGTGACCAGAGTCCTGCCTCTGAGGAGGCCTGGGAGCTAGAAGCAGAAGGTTTGCTGTGCATGGTCTCAGTAGGGGAGGGTGAGAACAATCCGAACCCCCTCCCAGTGGAGGCTCTGGGTGGGGGGGATCATCATCTCACACAGATATGAACCTGACCTTTAAGGTGATGCTGAGTGTGCAGGTGTGAACGACAGAGAGACGGTCCCATCCTCGGAGATCTTCAAGTATGATAACACATCCACACAGCTCAGCAAGCGGGTGAGCTCTCTGTCCTGTGGGGTGCTATGTCTGTGTGTGAGGTGCAGAGTACATAGGGTCTCAGATGAAGCTGTTGGGAACTCTGGAGGTCTCCTCCTGAGTCTACTCCACCCCTTCTCAGACCCTGGCCTCCTGGGGTCACTCTGGGTCACCTGCCATTAGCTTTCTGCTGATCCTTTCAGTGAACCCCACCTGTTGGTTCCTTTACCATTTCCTGTCTATGTTTATTCTGGAAGATTTGTGTCCCCAGCTCTGCCTCCTCTCCCCGTGTGTATGTTCATATGCTGGGAGCATAGGTTGTAGACTAAGGGTATCTGGGGTACCCTCACCTTCTTTCCTTGTGCCTCCCTCAGACAGTTCTGCACATCTACAGACCCTGATCTACCTTGGAGCCCTGGGGATCCCCTGGATTCTGACCTCCTGGAACTGGGGAACAACATGTCTCCCTGAAGACCCTGTCCTTCCCAGTACCTGAGACGGAGCCCCCTGAAGAAAAGCCATTCCTGGAAGATATACTACATAGAATTCACCCTGCCTTTGATGGACAGCTCCAGGGGTTGGGAGGAGGCTGCAGTTTAGAGTCCATGGGTATCGGAGGCCCCTCCTCATCCCATGTGGACTGGAATCCTCCAGTCTCTGGAGACAGGGTGGAGCTAGGCCCCCTTCTGGCCACAGGGTGGTGTCTCAAAGGACCTGTGGGTAGGGTAGGGACTCTATGGGCACAGAGGAGCTGCTGGGGAGGAGCCCAATGTCTTTGTCTGATTTTCTCTTTTTTTTTTTCTTTTCCTTTTCCTTTTTTTCTGTCTGTTTGCTGCTTGAGTGATGAGTCTGTTTGGGTGCTTCCTGGGTGAGGCTTAGCTCCCTGCTGGTTGTGGGAAAGAGGACAGCCAGCCAGTCCTGGCCTGGGAGGAGCCTGGCTAGCCTGTGTGCTATGCAGCATGAGAAGGGACCTTGGAAAGAGAAGGAGGGGGGCTCTAAGATGAGGAGATCCAATAGGGAGGTTCACAGGCAGAGCCCCAGCCCCAGCTTTCTCCAGTCACTGGAGAATGGGCTGCACACAGTCTGTGGTTACAAAGGACATGGGAGTACTCACTCAGCACCCAATTCATGTTGCATAGCTGTGGAGGGACAGAGGCTGGCACATACTCCCTCCTCAGGGCGCAGGGCCCAGTATAACCTCCTGTCCATTCTTGTCACAGGCCCTCCTGGAGGAGATGGTTCTACAGTCAGCAATAGAGCAGTGTGTGGTTTTCCTTGGAACAGTCTAGAAACAGGAAGCCCTTGTCCGGGATGGCGGTGAGGCAGTTGCATATTTATTCTTCACCCTGGGCTGTGGTGCTCAGCCCCAGAGACTCACACTACAGGGCTTGAGGCTGGCAAAGCAAGACCAAAGTGCCAGCGGTAGCTTATGTCTTCATGGGGCCTTTCTCTGTGTCCAGGGTGAGTGAGGTTTCAGGGATTTGTCCATAAGGATGATGGTCTTGCTGTTTCAGGACCCCGACTTAAAACATCATCTGAGCTTAGGTGTATCCCCCGATGGTCTTCTATGTGCCTTCACATAGGGGCTGGGGATTCAGCCTGTGCCTCTTGGGAGGACTCTGACAGGGTAGTAATCTCACAAACATGAGCAGCCAGTCTTCCCTTCAGAGTTCCTCACGTAGGGAGGAACAGAGAATATAAGATGGGTACAGGGTTGCCGGCGCTGTGCCAGGTGTCTTGGAGACATACATGGTGGCTGCAGCCAGTACAGAGCCAGCTCAGGTCTCAGGGCACCCTCTACAAGTCACTTTGATTTCCATGTCACATGGGCCATATGGTCTCCTGATGGCCCAGGCAGCTCTCAGAGTGCCCTGTGTCTGGCTCAGTGCTGGGTTCTCAGTAGACGCGATGCACAGTGCAGTTCAGTGGGAGTTTAGGGAGTTTAGGTGAGGGCTCATCCCGGTTGAGTAATGTCTGAGGCAGAAGCATTTCTGGCTGGGCTACTCCGGTCTGCCTCGCTGACCAGTCTGGGACAGCGGCCACCTTTGGTCCCTCTTGTAGCTTGCCATATTTTCCAGAAGGAAAGGAATTTTGTTTCCTACTAAAACATGGATCCTTTCATGGTTCTTTTCCGTGAGCCATCTTGGGAAATACGGGTGCTGTCCAGCTGTACCTCAGGTGTTTACAGTTTCATAGTTAGCTAGTCAGTGGAGAGAAGATGTGTCCAGGAAGAATTAGGCAATGGCAGGCAGAGAGGCCAGAGAGGGAGAGAGACCCCCCCCAGGTCTGGCACTAGGGAGAGGCTTCCTAGTGAGGCTGACCCTGCCAGGGCTTTGGAGGATGAGAAAGGTGTGGCTTAGCTTTTGGGAAGAAATTAAAGCAAAATTTAAATAGGTCTAAGACAGCGCAGGACTTTTCAGAGCCTTGAAATGGTAGCAAGCACCTCATACTCTCGAGGTGGGACTGAGGGATGAAACGTTTCTTGTCTTTGCTGGCTACAGAATTATTTTCTTCCCAAACATCTAGAACATTGGGAGACACAGGTTGGGCTTTAGAAGTGCCGAGAGTGATAGGGAAAATAATTAAGGCACGCTCAGGAGTCCTGATGTTGCCTGGAAGGAAAGAGAAGCTGAAGGGGTGGGGCTTGGGGGAGTCCAAGCTTTGCTTTAGGACTCAGGCCAGTTCCTTGAGGAGGGCACAGTAGGACAGTTGTGGGAGCAGCCAGAAGCCCAGGAGTTGATGGTGGAAGAGATGTTCAAGTGAAGCAGTTCTGGGGACTGGGTGGGTTAGTTGTTTTGTGGAAAGATGCTGGTTTTGTGTGTGTGTGTGTGTGTGTGTTTGTGTGTGTGCCTGTGTGCATGTGTGAGCATGTGCGTGCATACGCGGGCACGCACAAGTATGTGAGAAGATCCTTCCGAGAAGGGGCTGGCCACAACCAGGCAGGGGGTTTGCACTGAGGACAATCTGGGTACATTTTTTAGCACATCTGAAGTGTTTGTGGGGCTCCGAGCCCCACAGCCTAGAAACGGAAGCTCTGGGCTTCCAGCATGGGTCATGGAGGTCAGGCTTGATTCCTGTGGTGGGTGCTGATGGGGTATAGAGGCAGACCCCCTGCCTTGGTCAGGCCCCATGCCCAGGCTGGTGGGGATAGGAGGCCTGTGGTAGGTTGGGGCTGGAGTGGGGGGAAAGGGGAAAGGCTGCATGGTGTGATTAACCTACTAACCAACCCAGGGCTCGGCCAGGATGCTGTGGCACGCGGCGAGATGCCTGGCCTTCTGTCAACTGACTAATCCACTAACCTGGCCCGAGCATGTCCTACTAACCCTGCAGCAGACAAACCCTACTAACTCTACAGGCCAGGGGCCTTCCCAGAGGCTGGGACGCCGAACAGACAAGGCCCAGGAAGGCCCTTCCTGGGGGCTGGGATCTATGTGCAGACCCATCCTACAGGACAGGGCGTGCTAAGAGACTCACCAACTCTGCCACTTGCTGCTGGTGGAACAGGACCCTTCTACTTCCCTTGGTGCCTGTGGTGAGGTGACAGAGGTGTTGCCACATGGCAGGGACTTCAAAATGGAAAAAGACATGCTGAGGGCGGGCTGCAGGGGACTCGGTGGTACGTCCATTCTCTGATCTCGGGTGTTCTGCACACAGACCCTTCTACCTGGGGCAGACATGTGCTTTGAATCCTTAACGTCTCTTCCCTTTCTCCCCTCTTGCCGGCTTTCTCTCCCATAGGCAGCTCTATTGATTACTAATTGTCTAACCCCGGGGCACCCCATGCGCATCCCACCGCCCCTTAACTAACAGCCCCCCCCGCTGCCTTCTTCTCTCTAGTGGCTCCCGTGTGTGTCTGCTGGTGCTGTGCTCTGACCTACTGACCTACTAACCTGGCCCTACTAACTAGTTTCTCTTCTTACTAACCCAGCCCTGCCGAGCTCTGGGCCTCCTGGGGGCTGGTCCCTCCTTTTGGCAAGCAGATGTCCCCAGGCTGTCCAGGCCAGGTCTGAGGCAGGGGACAGCCGTATTAGTGATGCCCAGAGGAAGAGGAGGAGGAGGCTGTCCTGTGGACATGGGATGCTGGGCTCCGAGCATGACCTCTCTCCTCTGTGCATAAGTCTGGTTGCCACCAGGAGTGGATGGGACCAGGGGACCTTGTGGGAGCCAGTGTGTTGCCTGGGGCTCTAGAATTGGCAACTCTGGGCCCTACCTAGCTGGGGCCTCTGTGATTTAGGGCCAGGAGAAAGGGATAGGGATATCAGGGGCTGGCTATCTTGTACAGGATCTCAAAGGTGTGTGTCTGAACCTGGAGTCCTACCTGGAGGCTATAAGTGAGTTTCCTAAGCAGGAAGCAGGTGAGGAGGCATTTCCCTGAAAAAACAAAACCAAAAAAAAAAAAAAAAAAAAAAAAAAAAACAAAAAAAACAAAAAAAACCCAACAACCACGAAGCAGAGTCAGGCAGGCATTTGCCATGTGACATCTGAAGAGAGGGAATCGGGAAGTCTGTAAGAGGGCCTTTCTCTCAGCCTGAGAAGAGATGGCCAATGACCAGTAAGAAGGTTCTCCATATAGGCGGTAAGCTAGCCAGGCCTTTCCCACTGAGAGGGGTGGAAATCTCAAACTGGAAGTCTATTTGGGACCATTTTCACACAGGAAGTAGGTGTGAGGATTTTTCCCCCCATCAGGAAGTGTTTAGAAACACTCTCTCCACACTTAGAGAGGACAGGCTGCCGGTTGCCGGTTGCCCTGACACACAGTTGGGGAAGCGCCTCTACAGGCCCTTAGGGCATACGGGAGGGGTAAATGGGTGCCCGGAAGTGAATCCTAGAGACCCACAGGCTGATGGGAAGTCACCCCAGCTCCTTGTCCAGTTTATATACATGCCTCTGCCCCAGCCAGCCTCCCCCAGAGCCCGCCAGCTGCTAAGCCAGGGCCACACCTGGGGGTGATTTCATGCCTCACCTCCAGTAGGCTCATGGCCTCTCTGGGCTAACCTCTGGCTCCTTTGCACTAACTCAAGCTCTCCCCCAGCTAATCCCTGCCTCTTCCTGGCTGCCCCAGGGGCTGACCGCTAGCAGCCAGCCCCGCCCATTGGGGAGGGCTCCAGGCTCCTGGCCTGGCTTTGGCCGGCTCCTTTGAACCACCCTTTCCTCTGGACTAACGTTTGCCTTTCTGGTCGTTCCTTCCGGCAGAAATGAATGGCTGTGGATTTCTCTCTGACTAACAGGTCTCACGCTCCTCTCCCTGTTAACCACTAACGGCTTGGATGGCGGCGTGGCTGGCGAGGGACGGGCGGAGGTTCTGAGCTTGGTTGCTATGGGGGTGGGGGAGAGGATATAGCTAGTGAGAGTAGTAGACATGTGATCGGTCTGGGTCGGAGCTTCCAAATGTCAATCAAAGTGGTAACCCGGCTGGGGTGTGGCTCAGCCCAGAAGAAAGGATACTGCCTACTGAGCATCTTGGTGGGGGCCAGATGTCCAGCCAACCTTCTATGGGTGTGGCCACTCTCAC